AAAAATTCATAACCTAACCATAGTTATTCCATCTTGCTACAGGGCTAAGCCTTAAGGCTTCTTATGGTTTCAGCCTGTGTTGTGAAGTCTGGCTAACTGGGTTTGAATTCTGGTTCTGCTATTGACTAGATACTTGAACTTGGTCAAGTGACTTGATCTTGGTCAAGTTACTTGACCTCTCTCTTTGTTTCCTCCTCTGTAAAATGGAGATAATTTTAATACCTCTATCCCACATGTAAAGTGTCTAATGCAGTGCCTTTCACATAGTAAACATTCAATACACGTTGGCTATTGATAAATTCTCAGAAAGTTTTTAATTGAAAAAAAAATGAGTGAAGAGTTAAGAGAGAATTGCCATTAAGAAGAAAGCTGTTGGTTCTTGTTCAAATCATCCCAGCTCCCACCATTTCCCACATCTCAGGAACTGCAGCATAATTTCTCATGCTCATAGAATAAAAAAGGGAAAGAAGAAGCAGAGCTTTTTATAAAACAGCAAAACCCTATTATCACGTGAAATTGACTTATATAAGTCATGGTTTGCTCCAAAAACTTAGGGTATAAATTTAGCCACATTATTCTTCCCCCAATTAATAGTTAAAACACTCAATATCCCATTTAAAAAAGTCCAATGTCTCCACTTTTGTGCAAGAACCCCAGGTTCTTAGGGGGATTCTGATCTATCTAAGAGGATCAGATCACTTTCAAATGCCAAGTGGAGTGAGAAGTGGCCTCACATTGTTTTATACCTCCTGCTGCTGTTCCTGCCCAGACATTGGCCAACCAGTGGATAGGCCAGCACATTCCCCAAGTGGTGCCCAGTCAGGGCTCAGCTCAGGGCCCTGGCTTAGTGATTACAACTCTGAGACCAGCATCACTCTCCAGGACACACAACTGCTGTGCCAGGGGGCTGTGCACAAGGGTTGCTGCCAGCAAAAGCCACATGCTTTCCGGCCAACCCATCCCTCTCCACAGACTGCAAGCCCTGTTCTCAGAATATAGGTCATCAACCTTGACATCACTTTCCCCTTTAATCTCCAACTATTTTGTAATTTTTCACCTATGCAATGTATCTGCCGCCTCCCAAACTATATCAGTTTGCCAGTGCCACCAGAACAAAGGACCACAGTCTATGTGGCTTAAAAAACAGAAATTCATTTTCTCGTAAATCTGGAGGGCACAATTCCAAGATCAAGGTGTCAGTAGGGTTGATTACTTCTGAGGCCTCTGTCCTTGGCTTGCAGATGGCCATATTCTCTCTGTGTTTTCATGTAGCCCTATCTCCAAAGAGTCACCTTCTGAGGTACTGGGGGTTAGGATTTAAATATTTGTAATTTGGGGGGACACAATTCAGCCCATAACATTATTAAGTCTACATACTTAGGGCGTAAGTTAACTTTTTTAATTGAAGAAGATGGGAGCGATGGGTAGAAAGTGAGAGAAGGAGGGAGAGAGTTGTCTACTCAGAGGGTCTCTCTACATTATCCTTCAGGACTATGGGCACCCCACAAGGCAGCCACTCAAGGGGCCGTTCAAACATTTAAAGTGCACCCCACTAAACTCAGAAAGCCACTGTGAAACAGTTGATCCTGAAGCCTCTCTGGTTGATCTGGGAGTGGGGGTCCAGACCCCCTTTCATTTTCTCCTCACTGAGTCACTTCTGACAAGCACCGTGTAAAAACCTTTGGCCTGGAGAATTCTAGGTGTCCAGGCTTATTCTGCTATTTTTTTTTTTTCACAACTACATGATTCACCAGTTGTGTGACATGGGTACGTATGATATTGTCCGATGACCCTTAGCTTTGGAAATGAAACTCTGTCACTAGGATTTAGCCCAGTTTCACTGTGCAGTCCGGATGAGTTCCGGCGACCACATAGAGAGAGTGGCGTTTGTGTGGCCTGCTACACTTTTCCGCTTTGCTTCTTCTTGGAGTGGGCTTCTTAATCATCTGCTCAGCTGTGATACCCAAGAAAGGCTGAGAGGGGAGAGTTAGATGCAGCCTCCTTGTGACCTGTTTGTACACACCAGGCCAATAAGCCCGGGCAGAATGACAGTGACAGCTGCATTGTGGCATTCGGAGGGATTCAAGTGGTTCAGTTCTGCAGCTGCAGGGAAAAGTATATCATTACAGCCAGGCCGCTCAGAGAGAAACCACCTAAACTCACCCTCGAGGATGGACCTAGCTGTCCCACAGCCAAGGTAGGGCATCTTGGATATCTGCGAGACTTGACCCAGACCTTCTGTGAGCTTTCTCCACGCTGGACTGCCTGAGCAAGGACCTGTTCTCACCTCCACCCGTGCTCCCTGCCTGTGACAGCCAGCTTTTAGCAGCTGGGGTAGGACACAACACTAACCTTTGGGAGACAGGGGATAGAGGGCGGAAAGGAAGGTATGGGGGCCAGGCAATCAAGCGCCCGCTCCAAGGACAAAGGCCCCAGGGGCATGGTGCTCCTGAGGAGGAGGCAGAGATTCTCCCCGTGGGCTCTCGGGGAAGGACCCGCGGTCCCTGCTGAAGCGAGGCATGCGCCACATCAGCTTTAGCCTGGTCACCAAGGGAATAACGGACATCCCCGACTTTCTGTGGGGCTTGTCCGAGGTCCAGAAACTCAATCTGTCTCACAACCAACTCAGGGTTCTCTCCCCTGAGGTGGGGAGGCTGAGTCGGCTGGTGGTCCTGAACTTGTGCGGGAACCGTTTGAAGAGCCTGCCACAGGAAATCAGCCTCCTGAAGGGCCTGAAGGTGCTGTTCATCAACATGAACTGTCTGACCGAGGTGCCAGCCGAGCTGAGCGCCTGCAAGAACCTGGAAGTCCTGAGCCTGTCGCACAACAGCCTTTCCCAGCTGCCCGCCAGCTTTGCCGACCTTTCTAGACTGAGGAAGCTAAACCTCAGCAACAACCGTTTTGCTCACATCCCCATCTGTGTGTTTGCCCTGAAGGATCTGGATTTCTTGCATGTGGGCTCCAATCGCCTGGAAAACATCGCTGAGAGCATCCAATGCCTGGGCAGCTTGCAGATCTTCATTGCCGAAAGCAACAACATCCACTCCTTCCCGCGATCTCTCTGCCTCCTTGCCAGCCTGGAGCTGCTGAACTTGAATGACAACGACATCCAGACCCTCCCAGACGAACTCTACCTGCTGTGTCGACTGGCCAGAATTGCTTGGAATCCCATGGACAAAGGGCTCCACATTTCCCATAATCCTTTATCGAAGCCTCTGCCGGAGCTGGTGGAGGGGGGCCTGGAGATGCTCGTCAGCTACCTGAAGGACAAAAAACACCACTGAAGGCAGGAACAGTAGCCAGCTCACCGAGACTCTGTCAGCCGGGTACTTCTCTAGTCTAAGCTTTCTCCTCTTACTGCTCGTGGGGGTCAAGGCTTGCGTTAATATTTGCTGAATCATTGTTAAACACCATCTTAGACAAGTGTTTGTTTTTAACTCTATGTTTCTAATAACTCCCATAATATCATGTTCATCTCACTCTAAACAGAAATTGAAGCAGGTCATTTGGCTTTTTCCAAAGAGAAATAATTGCTCTGGTTCTCCTGAGGAGCAGTAGAATTTGGCCTTTGGAATAGTGGTCAGCAGGTCTGATTCAATGAAATTCACAAGTCAAATATTTGTTAAGTATTCGCTGTGTGTCGAGTGCGGTATCAGGCATTGACACCATCTGGTTTCAACCCTTGAATTGGCAACCACAGCCAGGTAGCAACAGTAGCCTCTACCAAGCATTACATGGGACCAAAGAGCAACCTGGAGTCTTGCTCTCCCAGTGATGACCAAAATAGGCAGAGCTTTCTCTCGAGTTCGAGGGGCAACAATTTATTTGTCTCTAAAATAACTGTAGAGTAACAATCAAACTGCTCATATTTATGTCTGGCAGTGAGTGACTGGGATAGTATGATGGCTTTGGATAATAAATACAAATCAATTTTAATGCGCAGTTTCACCCTTTTTTCCCAATCCTCTTGCACCCACAGTAATGTCTCTGAGATTTTCTAGAGATTCCAGCCAGTGGCTGTCATCTTTTTCTGATTTTACTTCTCTTTTCTTACTAGATTTGCCCTCTCAGAGATGAGCTAATAAATGAAAAAAAAAAATGACCAAAAGGCAGGAAAGAAGAGGTAAGGCATAGACAAGCCACACAAAAAAGGCAATTACCCTTTTAACATTTAGAGAAGGATAATATTTGCCACTTGGCTTTCATATATGGACATTTTAAAAAATGAGTTTAGTGACATTTAAAAGCTCTTTGGACAAAAGGCTCTGTAAAAATATTAATTTTTTTTTTAATTGTAAAAGCGCATAGCTGTTAGATAAACGAGACATCAGGATGAGTAATTTCAGAGTTCTTGCCACAAGACTCACTGGATCTTACTGCTGTCACAGCAGCTAAGAGTTCCTAAGACATTGCTCTTTATTGTGAGTTAAAGAATTAGAGTGAAAAGGTGGCAATGAAGAAAGTACAGCATGTTCAGATCAATGGAAAGCCAGATGTCTTGGCACTTTTGTCTACTCTACATAGCTAACAATATCAAGACAGGAATTGGAGTTGCTGCCAAAACTCATCTAACTTCTTAGTACCCTCAGCTTAACTTAGTTTAACTTATATTTTGTAGCACCTTCTCTTTACTCCACTGGGCTAGAGAAGAGTAGCCCTGCTTCTTCCACTAAGGAGCTCACAGTTTGGTGAAAGAGACAGAAACCCACGTGGGCTCCCACAATGCGTGGCAAGTAGTGATCCCCGCTCAAGAGAAATGTAAGCAATGGGCTGGAGCAAGGATAACATACCGGGCGGTGCAGATGAGTCAGAGCCCCAAGGTCTCCTTAAGCAAAGAATAGTAGCCAAAGAACATGACTGGGAGGAACAGGTAAAACTTCACTCACTGCAGCCATCTCACCCTAATTCCTGTCTGCCTCCTTTCACCCCATTTGGGAAGGAGCAACAACGTGCTGGGGCAGTGGGTAGCTCATTCTCAGATTCTGGGTTTAGGCCATTTTAGTATGGAGCTGCCACCTTACTTTTTCTAAGAGCTGCTCAAAGGGGTTCCATATAATTTATTCATAGTACAGGTGATTTTCCCAACTTCAAAGCCAATTTCCCGCCCATAAAAGAGGGAAACCAAAAAAATAATCAGATATCATAGTTTCATTAGCACATTTGTGCATAAGCTCTTTGGTTGAACCACTGCTAACAGATCTTACCAGTGTCATTGGGAGGCAGCTGAAGTCCTCTCTAAATTCTCCCTCCCACAGCAGCCGGAATCCTGCCAGGCACACACAGACACACTCTAGTGTCCTCACCCACGTTAGCTGGCTGGAGCCAAGACTATTTAAAGACATCGGTGGAATTCTTACTGACCTCATGACTCAGTGGGAAATTGCAGGGCGAGCTTTCTTCTGCAGAGCAGAACCAAGCAGATCACTTACCGAGTGTTGGCTGAAGCACACACAGCTGTCAGACAAACGGCAACGGGTGCCAGAATCACACCCGTTCGTGTCTGTGCCGAAGAACCACTTGGGCTCATGCTGAATTTCCATGACCTTGCTATGGGCAGAAAGGCAGCCTGTGACAGAAGCACTGCGCTTTTCCTACTGAGCAATCATTTTATTTCCTCTACTCGCTTTTCCAGTCACTCGATCCCATAGTAACTCTATTCCAAGGAAAGAACCTAACCATATTTTGAAGGTGATCCAAGATCTTATTACATTTCTTATATGAAACAAGTAGTATCAATTTGGTGGCAGGCTTCCATCAGGTGTCTTTCAAAAGTATAATAGCAAGGTTTTCTTCGTTAACACTTAGCAATGGGGAAATCATAGAGTAGTAGTTGCCCGATGTGCTTTAGATATTAATTCTTTATGAAGACTCCTTTTTAATGATATAGAAAAATGCTAAGTAAAATCCTAGTTAATATGCTTAGTTATTCAAAACATGGAGGGAATTTGATACAGCCTTCACTGTTTTGCTGTCAAACTCTACAGTTTGCTGACTGACCGAAATGCTTTTTGCTTATCTTTTTGTAGTTCTAATACTACCACATTTAAATAACTCCCAGGTATTTCTAAGGCTTCTGAAATCAAAGCACTGGAGATGACTGCATTGGCTGCAGAGTATGTTTAGCCAAAGAATATGAGCTAATTGGGCGCCTGATGTGGGAGCTGGCTGCTCACATTCTTGATGATATTGTGGTTTTCATGTCACTTGGCTCTCCATACAGAGCAATCTCAGTTCAGAAACACCTTTTGAAGCAGTTGCAGCTTACAAGCATACAATTAAGAAGAAATCCTACGTTCATAGGAAAGGAAGACAACTTTGAAAAGACACATCTGTTCCAGGAAGAATACCGCTAAATGCATAAAGCTGCTACATATTAGAAAGAAAAATGTAGTCATTACATAGCTTATTGACTTAATAAATGGTTAATAGAAGAAGTGTACTCCATTCTCAGGCTTTAGTTAATAGACTGCCTTTCTGTAATAACCAAAGACAGTGACTTTAGGACTGTGCACCTGTACTTTACAATGAAGTCGTGCTTGCTCTGAAAAGAGATAAAGAGGGAATGCTGTCATTATTTGCAGGGACATTCTTTTCTTTTGGTAAAGGATTATTGCATTTTAAAATTCCATTTCATATGCCTCAAAGCATATACTGAATATGCATTTTGATAGCTATGTGTTAAAAACAGAGAAAGATTAAAGGACTAGGGGCTTGATCACTGGAAGACACAATGGAGGTGTCAACATGGACTGGAGGTGATTCTTTTTTGGTAATATACAGAGACTGGGGGGAGTCTGGATGGAGCCACTGATATTCTGTTACAAATGATGAAAAACAGAAAATGAGTTCAGGAAATGGTCTAAACAGAGAAAAGAAAATGAAAAAGCAAAAATTCAAGCTGCTAGATTTAGGCGACATGAAGAAACTCAATCTTCAACTATTCTATCAATATCTACTTAAGTGGCCACATGTGCTCTATCTTCGCCAAAGAATGATTTTTAGCACTGTGTAAGATATACTTGAGAAAAACAAAATATCTAGCCTAGATTAAATTGCAACTAAGTACCAGTATCATTCATAATTCATCCAAAACAAGAAAGCAAAATGAAATTTGGAGGAACAGCAAAGCTATTATAAACAATAAGGGGAACACAACTGACCTTGTTGGCAAAGAACTTTTTACTAATTCTCCTTTTAAGTTACCTGTCAAGGTACATGTTGAATCCAATGCATTACTAATTAAAAAAAAAAAAAAAGGAGAGCATAGTAATAAAAGGGAAGCAGAGAGGGCTCATAACAAATTTGTAAGAGCTTGGGCATCGTTAGACAAGCATAACTGAAAGCTATTAGCACAAAGCTTGCTAGGCAGATTTTTTTTAATAGTGTCATAGGAAACTACTTACAAGAAGGGAGCTTATTTTCTACTGCTTCTAGACTTAATCCTTGTTTCAGCACAAGACAGAAAATAAAAGATGAACTGAAGCCCATTTGAAAAGTGCCAAAGTATTTTCTGATACCCTTGATAGAAACATACATTATGAAAACTATAAGACTGTTGACTCTGATGGTATGAGTTAGAGTTGCCTATGGAACACTACATAATCACCTATGTTCTTTGGTCTTGAGTGACTTGAATCCCCAGAAGTCAGTGTGCCGAGACATGCCACTTGGGGAAGTCTATTTTCCTCTGTCTCTGGAATGTTAAGCTCATCACCCTACACATGTGTGGGAGAAGAGGCCCTGTGGGGTAGTGGGAAAAGCTGGACTAATCATTGGCTGTGTCGATTGCACAGAACTTCCTGAGCATCTGAGAATCTTAAGACTTTGCAGGTATTGGGGGCATGACTTGAGAACAAACTCCCCCCCCTTGGGGTCCTGAGTCCATGGACAAAGAAGATGAGGCTCAGCTAAATGTAATACAATCCTGTGATGATATCTGCCTTAATCCACTTCCCATTTGCCCCGAGAATACTCACCTGTGGCGAGTTTACCTTGAGATAACTCACAGATTATAGTCCTAACCTTATCCCCAAAGTTTGCATGAAATATCTCGCTTTTATTATTATTTTCTCATCTCTGTAGTGTATCGATAGTCTTTGAAACAAATGATGTTTCTATTTATAGCATTTTGTTTTTAGTAGTGGTATTTTTATTTATAAAATATAGTAATTCTCAATTACTGAAAATGTCGAGTCCTAGCAAACGTAGCATTCCTACACGTGTTGTTAACATTGTTCTCCAATAATTGTTAGCCAAAGATTCATTTGATGAATCTGATTTTTGT